GCTCCTGGCCTAGTTTTCACAGCTGATATTGAGCTTCTCCAGCAGTTTTTTCCACAGATGTAATCGATCTGATTCCTATGCATACCATCAGGTGAAATCCATGTGTATAATCTACGTTTATGTCTCTTATGTTCTGCATTTAAATTGAAAAGGTGGATAGGATGCATCCCGGTATACACAATTCCTAATTTTGAACCATTCAGTATTTCCTTTCTCTGTTCTGACAAGTACCTCCAGTCCAAATATAGGTTTTGCATAAGCATAATAAAATATTGTGGGATTCCCATTCTTCTCAGAATTAGAAGTTTGTTGTAATCCACAAAGTCATATGCTTTTGCATAGTTAATAAAACACAGGTAAATATCCCTCTGGAACTCTCTGATTTCAGCCAAGGTCCATTTAACAGTGGCTATAATATCCCTTGTGCCACTGCCTCTTCTAAACCCAGCCTGCACCTCTGGTAGTTCTTTGTTGATGTGTTGTTCCAGTCATTTTTAGATCATTGTAAGCAGAATATTCATTATGTGTAGTATTAATGGTACTGTTCTATAATTTCAGCACTTTGTCAGGTCACTATTTTTTTTTTTTTGGCGTACTAACAAATATGGATCTCTTCCAGTCAGTTGGCCAAGTTGTGGTCCTCCAGATTTCTTAGCACAATGTGTTGAGCACATCCCACAATATTAAAATTCTATCAGAAGCACTAGTGTTAATATGGAAAATATTGGCTAATAGTTATACCTATTTTCAGGGTATACCTTTATCTCTTACCACAGAGCTTAGAAAATTTACTTAAGCTCTCTGAGCCTTAATTCTTTCATGATCACAAATTTTTTGTTAAGACTAGAGTGAATTGTATTACATAAGTTTTGACAGCCTTTATTAATAGAATCTTTAAGAACATCGCCCATGTTACACCAATCTCTTTCTCCATACTTTGCACTTTACAAAAAATTTGTGTTGTAACTATTTTTGAGTATATTAGCCATTTTCCCAGTGTTTTTGCTGGGTGCTGGGAATATTACACCTGAAGTTTACCTTTAAGAAGAATGGGTATATAAAACGTGTTTGATTTATCATAGTCTGGTGGCCTAATGGCAGGAAACTGTGCTGCAATTCGGAAGGTACATTGTTCGAGGCCACCTTCTGCTCTGCAGGATAAAGATGGGCAATTTCCTAGCTCTAAGAACCTGCTGGAGAGTTAGCCATGGGTTAGTTCCAACTCTATTGTGCACAACAACAATAGCAACAACAACAACATGGCTTTATAACATGATTATGTTTTAAAGAGCTGCCATACAAAATAGAAATTGTTAGCTGGTCCTGACCACTGATTTTCAAAAAATGAGCTCTTTTTGATTTACTTCAAGCCATTGCTGAAAATTATTTCCTCCTTTCCTTGACTATTTAGTCTGAAATGCGGTTTCAATTTCATTAATCTCTAATTTCATCCTAGTTTATAATGCTATATCAGTTTATCTTTGGTCATAATGTGTTAATTGTTGGAATACTAAATGAAATGTCAGCATCTTGAATCTAACATCTGCTATTTGGCGGAGAAATGGGAATCTTTTCTTGTAAAAAAACTCTGACTATAAGAACCCAATGGAGGGTTGGTATGGGCTCAATGATAGTGAGTGTAATGCAGTCTTTTAGTTTTTATTGTTATATTATTCACTTTTATAATATAGCCATCTCCCCCCTTTTTTTAGTGTGTACATTATCCACAGTGCTTGGCAAACAGTAGACAAATAGAGGAATTACATCTTTCCCACTCATTTAATTATTCTCTTTCACAGAATTCAATTTACATTAAAAAAGAAATTCAAATTGGTTTTAAAAAAATATTTTATCAGGCTTAAAATGTGTTTGAACTGTCTTGTGTTGTTTAGTCAGAACCGACTCATCACTGATCCAGAGGCTGTAAATCACATGAGAGGAGATTGACCATCTTTCTTTTATGGAGCAACTGGTGGATTCCAACCACCTGCCTCTGAGTTGTTAGCATAGCTCCCTACCACTCAGTCTCCAGAATCCCTTATTTGATTGTGGAGGAGGGAAAAGCCTACTGTTGCAAACATTAAACATATGGTTTTATTGAAGGAGAAGGTATTTATTTTTCCAATACATGGACATTCAACTTTCAAATAACTTCTTAAATGTAAATACAGAAATTTAAATAACTAAAAAAAATGGAGACTGAAAAACAAATGAATATTTCTTTTTTAAATGGAAACAAAACAAACAAGTAGGTAAGGTAATATTTTGACTGTGAACTGGCTCTGATTATAAATTTTCTTCTATTAGGAAAGGACCTGAGAAACAAGATCTAGTTAAGGACACGGATAAGGACTGTTTACAAATGTCTAATGCCAGGTGCTCAAAAACGTTAATATTCTGTCAGTAAGAAAATATTACATTTTGAAGGTCATTTCAATAGTTTTCCTGGGAGATTTTATGGATGTTCTTCACCTGTTAACCTTGTTGCTGATAATTCTTTTTAGATTATGAACAGATTGGATTTTGGTATTTATTCATACTAATATTTACTTTTTAAAATACACTTATTACAGGGCTATATAAAGAGTTACTGAAGAGAACACTGCTGACTTCTAAGCAAAATGAAGTTCCTTCTATTACTTTCAGCCATTGGGCTCTGCTGGGCCCAGTATAACCCACATACCAAATATGGCCGAACAGCTATAGTCCATCTGTTTGAGTGGCGCTGGGATGATATTGCTCTTGAATGTGAGCGCTATTTAGCTCCCAAAGGATTCGGAGGGGTTCAGGTGGGTACTTCGCATCTAATATGATGACCAAGTTTCTAATGTTCGCAGTAAATGTTAATCCAATTCATATCTGTGAAACTAAAGCAAGTTTTTACTTCTCAAATACTCTAGATGGGGCAGTTTTCTGAGGAAGAAAACAATCAATATTGTTGACAACTTTCTGTTTTATTTTTTATATATTGCTTAGGTAGAGCCGTCACAATATGCTGCTACTGATAGCTTCAAGTGTTTGTTAAAAATGTAGATGCATATGCAAAACTTAAGAAAAAATAATTTTAATGTTTTTTTAGTTCTCATTATATCCAGTAATATAAAAGTAGGCCATAATTTAATACTTAATAAGATTGTTTTATTTGTAGATATCTCCACCAAATGAAAATGCTGTGATTAATAGCCCTTCAAGACCTTGGTGGGAAAGGTATCAACCGATTAGCTACAAGTTATGCACAAGATCTGGAAATGAAAATGACTTCAGAGACATGGTGACTAGATGTAACAATGTTGGCGTAAGTAAATTGACATCTCCTTTGAAAAACATTATATCTGAACTTTGTAAGTAAATTAGTATAAAATAAAGGTTAAAAATATTGTATAGGAAAATATTTTTTCCTCCATTCTCTTCATAAATAGAACATTGTCTACAGTTTGATATTTTTATATCACTTTATCTAGAGAAGAAATTTAATTATTGCATCTTGGTCAACATTTGTAAATGTTGTATATGTGCCATTATTTATTAAAGAAGACGAAAGCCATGATTCAAAGCTGAGTGTATTTTAGCATATGATATTAATTTTTAATTCTTATAAACATTTCTTGACAACATTTTTCTACATATAAATTTCATATTTGCTTACAAGATTTGCTGTTATTTATTTGACCTGTATCTGCATTGGTTTTCCCCCCCCTTGGATATTTCTTGATGACAAATTACTATTTTATTATATCTTTGATGAGGAGTATAATGAAAGACCAGTCTTTGCCTTTTTGCATGCTAAGGACAGAATAGAGCCTCGCTGCTTCTTTCTTAGGGTGCCTCAATGAAATGTCAGTACAAAATAATGTCTACTGTCTCAACTGATTCTTGTGTCCCAATAAAAGATAAGATTTGTATATTTTCATAGGTACAGAACCTTCTGGTTCTTTCTAATTATAGGCCTTGTGAAGATTTACCATAGACTCTGTACATCTTCAGTTACTATTAGTTTCCCTTTACAGTTGATTTTTAGTATTCATGGAACATAAGTTACAAAATACCAAAGAATTATTTTGGGTTTTCTTATATGCTTAACCTTCAATCACTAGTAGTTCTTTTCTACCCCTTTCTTTATAAGCAAAACCGAAATAAAACTTCTTTTTTCAGGTCCGTATTTATGTGGATGCTGTAATTAATCACATGTGTGGAAATGCTATGGGTTCAGGAACAAGCAGTACTTGTGGAAGTTACTACAACACTGGAAATAGGGATTTTCCAGCTGTCCCATATTCTGGTTGGGATTTTAATGATGGTAAATGTAAAACTGGAAATGGAGAGATTAATAACTATAATGATATTTATCAGGTAAGTTCTAAAACAGAACAAAATAAAACTCCACCAAAACAAAATAGCAAAACCCAAAAATAAGACAAACTGATCTGAAAATTTACCTGTATCTTTAGTTATCTCTTGTTATTGTTATGTGCCATGAAGTCTTTCCATTTGGACCTAGAGTGACCCAACAGAGGAAAGCACTGTCTAGTCCTGCACCACTCTTACAGTTGTTGCTATGTTTAAGATCATTGTTGCAGCCTCTGTTTCAATTTATTTCATTGAGATTACTCTTCCTTTTCATTGACACTTTACTTTTCCAAGCATTATGGCCTTCTCTAGAAATTTGTCCCTCCTGACAATGTGTCTAGAATATTATAGAGGAATTCTCACTATATCCTGCTTCTAAGGGACACTCTGGCTGCCTTTCCTCAGACAGATTTGTTAGTTCTTGCACCCCTAAAGCATATTCAGTGTGTTTTACCAACATCATAATTTATAGTTATCTATTATTCTTATGTTTTCCTTAGTCATTGCCCAGCTTTTGCATGTAAATGAAAGAATGAAAATGCCATGGTGTGAGTCAGACACTCTTTAGTCCTCTAAGAGACATATTTACTCTTCAGTACTTTAAAGAGCATATATGCAGTAAATTTTCCCAGTTTAAATATTATTATATTTATTGCCCATTGCTTCCATGGAGAGTAATAATGGGTCCAGGTAAAATGAAGCCTATTACCACCTCAAACTTGTCTCCATTTATCATGATGTTTCTTATTGACCCATTTGTGAGGAATTTTGTTTTCTCCATGTTAAGGTGCAATTCATATTGAAGTATGTATTCTTCACTTACAGCAAGCCATGTTGTGTTACCTGTATAATAGGTTGTTAATGATTAGCCCCTGCTATGTTCTTTGTATAGTCCACTTTCTCAGATAATTTGATAAACATATATATTGATTATGTATGGTAAAAGGATATCACCCTAGTGACCACCATTCCTGATGGAAGCCATGATGCAGTATTGCCTTATTCTGTTTAAAGGGATACCTCTTAATCTTTGTACAAGTTCTGCATGAGCACAACCAAGTGTTCTGATACCTACATAGAATTTATTGAATTCTGTTTTAAATCAGTTTCAGTTCCCTAGGAAAACAAAAAGTTTCCTGGCCTAGCAGACTTAAAAGACAAAACAATAAAAAAAGAAGTTATTTTTTTCTTTTTAATTAAAAAAGATCCTCCACTTTATTTTCTATGTTCTCCATGTTCTTGGTAGACAAAATTTTGGTGTCTATACTAGAGTGGTCATAACCTTGTGACTAATGCAAAGGAGGCATTCTAGAAATATCTACTGACAAACCATTGAGCAAAAACCCAAATGCATTCTCAGATGAAAAAGATGATCTTTTATATGTAGCAATCGCAAATTTTTTTATCTTTACAGGTCAGAGATTGTCGTCTAGTCGGTCTTCTTGATCTGGCACTGGAAAAAGATTATGTACGTTCCAAAGTTGCTGAATATATGAACCACCTCATTGACATTGGTGTGGCAGGATTCAGACTTGATGCTTCCAAGCATATGTGGCCTGGAGACATAAAAGCGGTTATGGATAAACTTCATAATCTGAACACCAACTGGTTTCCTGAAGGCAGTAGACCTTTCATTTATCAAGAGGTACATCTGTATACCTATATCTATCTTTCTGTGATTATGCTTTTCAAAATAGATATGTAATTTCATTAAATGGAAAATGACATATATAGCTAAAGAATTATCCAGGATAATGGTTGATTTATTTATATATTTTTTACATTTTCTATCCATTTCCTCCAAGATTGCCCATCTAACTCTTTAACATAAGCATTGTAGCATTGCAGAGAATTTATTTTGACGGTAGACTTTACTGTTTACTTCACTCTTTCTCCAGAGACCGTGATATGGAAGACAGAGAATAATAAAATTGTTGTCTGGAGATAATCTATCACAGTCTGGATATTGATGATATTATCGATGAGATGTTTACCAATTAATCTCTCTGTAAAATAATTTTTGCCTATCAAGATAGGAGTTATTGATAATGGTTAAGTGTAGTTTCCTTTGCAGCGTTTAATTAATTAATTAATTATTATTTTCAAGGATTGAAAAATGTTGCTGGGCAGATAGTGTTAGCTATTATTGTAATTTACACACAAGATTAAGTTGTATCAGCATTTTCACAAGATCACAGGCCCAATTTGTCTTTTAATATTATAGCATACATTCTAGCTAAATAAATAAATAAGGGAGAATTTTGGTAGAAGGAAACCATTTGGACTATTTCAAAGAATATAAATAACTTAGACTAATTTATTTTGTACAGTGATTTACTGGCTAAAATAACTTACTGCTCTTATGTGAAATGATAACCTTTTTTCATTTTTACTAGGTAATTGATCTGGGTGGTGAGCCAATTAAAGGCAGTGAATACTTTGGAAATGGTCGTGTGACAGAATTTAAATATGGTGCAAAACTAGGCACAGTTCTACGCAAATGGAATGGAGAAAAAATGGCTTACTTAAAGTAAATATGATATCATTTGTTATTTGAGTGTTTCACTGGCCTACTAAATGTATTTTAGTTATGTATGAGTTATCCACTTGAACTTTCATATAGACACTTGTCCAGTAGTCCAGTATTCAAATATTATTAATAAGTAGCTATCCAAACTCTGATTGTTTTGTTTTCATTATGCCAGTCACAAGGAAATATGTTTAGAAACAAGAAAATATATAACTTACAGGTGTTAATCAGTGTATAGTATAAGTTGAGTTGCTAAGTTAGAATAGCCTGTCTGGCAGTTTGAATCCTTCAGCAGCTGCTTGGGGAAAAGATGGGCTTTCCATGCAACTTAAAACCTCTTGAAAACCCAGTGAAGGCCCAGCTATGAGTTACTTTCTACTGGACAGCAGAATGTGAAGCTGTTTTTAGTATTTGTATGTAATCTTTTATGTTCAGGTTATTAAGAAAATAATTGTACCATTTAAAACAGTACAATAGCATGACATTTACATGTTAGTTAATTAAACTGATGTATTAAAATATGCAAGAACACAGTACTGAAGCCTTATTTAAACCTAGTTATTCTTTCTGCTGTGATGTGATGTGATAAAAGGTTGTAGACCTTTCTCAAGTCTATGTGAAATGTATTAAATTGACATCTCTCAAAGAACTTTTCTGTAACAAGATCTTGCACTCCTATCATAAAAAGAATGCAAGAAATGTATACAAATGCACATAAATGTAATTACACCTACAGTGTAATTGTAGATGATACATACAAGTGTAGTGATATCTACAATGTAATTGTCGATCATCTTAATATATGTGCCTTTGTAGTTTATATTTAGTATACAATCCTACACAGAACCTTAATTGCGAAGATAAGACTATAAAAGTAGTACACACTCAGTCGTATTTTATTTTTCAATTAGGAACTGGGGAGAGGGCTGGGGTATGGTGCCTTCTGACAGAGCCCTTGTCTTTGTGGATAACCATGACAATCAGCGAGGGCATGGGGCTGGTGGAGCATCTATACTTACATTCTGGGACCCAAGGTAGGAGTCAATTTTCCCACTTTTTTTACTTACCTTTCAATGACAGTAAAAATTATTCACACTTTCCCTTATGATAATATAATTTTCTAATGAACTTTCAGATTGTATAAAATGGCAGTTGGATTTATGCTTGCTCATCCTTATGGATTTACTAGAGTGATGTCAAGCTACCGTTGGCCAAGATATTTTGAGAATGGAAGGGTAAGTTTTTAAATTGTTTAAAGGATCTTTTCAAGAAAGAGACAGAAATTTTGTTTCACTTCCATATTGATGCTCCATTTTTGTCTTTTTCAATTTTTTTTAAACTTGGTTTCAAGACTGGGACTCATATTTAAGTCATAGAATAGATAATAAAGAATTAATAAAATCCATGGTCTGTGGTGTCTAAGAATGTGCAAGCTGCTTTTAAAAGAGTAAATTACAGTGAATTAAGAAACTGTAGGGGAGAAATCACTAGAACAGCAGAGACTACAGTGGATGAATCGAGGGAGGTGTAGAAATAGGCAATGTGCAATATAGACTTGAGATGGATTGATATAAGCCGAAGATAAATAATAATCAATTATATAAAACACAGTAGCTATTAATGATGGCATAAAACAAAATGCATATGAAGGAAACACAATGTATATGAATGGTTTCATGCAAATACATTTTTAAAATGTACTTTTCAGAGGTACCTACATCATCAGGTTTGATATGAATATTATGTTAGTTAACATTTATAAAGAAAATTACTGTGCCAGCCCACAGAAAGAGCAGTGTAAATACCTGATAAATTCTATTGCGAAGATATTTTTTTAACACAAAGCAAAGAAATGATCCATATAAGTCAAGACAGATTAAATAAGGAATAATTTTTCTGTTAAAAATATTAAAGAAATTTTCAGGGAGGAATGAGAAGCATATTTGACATATTGGTGATTTTTACAGTAAACCAAGAAATAAGATTTTGAAGATATTTGGAATCTCTTTTATAAATAGAAAAATGTCTGAAGTAGCATCACTGAACAACTTTATACCTAAAGCAGAAAATCCTCTTTACCACAAACTAGGCAGATATTTATTATGTTCTTTATTTCTTTAAATTTGAGAAACTCACTACTTTGTACAGCAACTCATCCTTTTATTAGCTTTGATATTTAGACGGCTATAGTCTTTGCAATCACTTGTCATGCATCAGAGAGTTGGACAATGACTAGGGAAGATAGAAGGAGAATTGATGCTTTTGAGCTGTGGTGCTGGAGAAGAGTATTGAATGTACCATGGGCTGCCAAGAAAACAAGCAGATTCATCCTGGAGAGGGTTAAACCAGAATGCTACTTGGAGGCAAGGATTATGGGGCTTTGTCTGACATACTTTGGGCATGTTGTAAGGAGAGACAGGTCCTTGGAGAGGGACATTGTGCTTGGTAGGGTGGAGGGACAGCGCAGGAGGGGAAGACCCTCTATGAGGTGGATTGATTCAGTGACTGGGGCAATCGGGATGGGTGTGTCAGAGGCAATGCGATTGGCACAGAATAGAGCAGGGTTTAGAGCTGTCGTACATAGGGTCGCTATGAGTCGCAAACGGCTCGACGACACATAACAACAACAACATTTAGAAGACCTCTTTATACTGAACCAATTTTTTTTAAAATTTCCTGTAATTTATATTGTTTCTAGCCTTAATCATCATATACTGTATCCTTTTCCTTTTTCACACAGCCTTCCTTCAATATTTGAAAAACACATTACTCATTGTTGCATGATTTTCTCCCTACTCCCCACTGCTTCCCCAGCCTACTTTGCTATGCACCTCTTTTTCTACACTGTTGACATACAGATAATGCCTAATCACATATTCCTTTTAAGCAGTTATTTCCTTCATCTATTCCAATGCAGTATTTATTATTTATGCCCCCTTTTGTCAATTTCCTCCCAATCCCCATGAGAGTTCTGTTTCACAACAGTGATGTTATGCAGTATTTATCCTTTTATGACTGAGATATTTCACTCAGCATAATGTCCTCCTGGATCCCCCATGTTTGTAGTATTTTCTGAGTTTTTTATACTTTAGTGCTGCATAGGATTGCATTGTGTGAATATAGCATAGTTTTTCTAGCCATTCATTTGTTGGTGGTTTCTTTTTTAAAAAATTCTTTTTCTCTACGAGTTCATTTTGAAAGTACAAATAAGAAACTGCCAATATTAATTTTTCCCCATTTGATAAAGGATACTGTGGTAAACAGATAAGTACATTTATCCAAAAAGAGGACTGAAATGAATATTTGTTTAACAATTACTATGTTAAAAAAAAAAACCAACAACAACAAAAAAACCCCAATTACTATGTTCAAAATACCTGTAAAGTAAGCTACATTATTCATGAGATTATTTTGTCTCAGGTACTTTGGGCAGTTTTTAAGAAAGGAGCTCATCCTTGAAGAAAGACATCAGACTTAGTAACGCAGAGTCAGTCAAAAAGAGGAAGAAGGCCCTGTGAGGAATGGATTAATCCAATGGTTGCTTATAACAACCAATAATAACCTCATTGTATAGATAAGGAAACTAAGGTTTAAAAGAATGGTGTTTATTAAGTTTCTTTAGTTAGTATTGATAGATGCCATGTTTTAATTTTACATATCTTGTACTAAAACTTTCTTCTTTTCAACCACTATGCACTGCTAACCAAAGAGTGAAATTAAGATAAGAAAAATATTGAAGGTTAAAAAAGTAAAAGAGTTAACCTGTTTGAAATAGATCATGGAGAATGAGAAGAGAGGGAGAGAACTTGGTAAAGGGATGTAAAAATACGAAGGAAATAAATCCTAAATATAGGCACTGCAGAGAGAGAAATAAGCAACAAGAGAGATTGGGTTTGCTAGACTGAGGGCTGAAAGAATGAGGCAAATAAATGCAATATGAAGAATCTGAGAGTATTTTTGGTTTTTTTCCCCTTCCTAATTAAGGATGTTAATGACTGGGTTGGTCCACCAAATGATTCTGGAGTAATTAAGAGAGTTACGATTAATCCAGATACTACTTGTGGCAATGACTGGGTCTGTGAACATCGCTGGCGTCAAATAAGGTGTGCATTTTTATTTAGATATGCCTTAAATAGACTTCTTTAAGTTTATTTTCAACTATTCCATGTCACTTGGGATAGTTATTTATTTATTCACTTATTTATTTATTTGTAGGAACATGGTTGCTTTCCGTAATGTAGTTGATGGTCAGCCTTTCACAAACTGGTGGGACAATGGAAGCAACCAAGTGGCTTTTGGCAGGGGGAACAAAGGATTCATTGTCTTTAACAATGATGACTGGTAAGTAGGTAATAATTTAGAATAATTGTGTATAGAAGTTTGTTCTTTGTTTCTGTTAACTTTTTTTCCTGATACGTCAAAAATTCTTTCAGTAAATAGTTTAAGGAAAAAAAAATAAGTTAAGGAAAAAATAGAGATCAGAAAAAAAGAGTGAAGATGGTGTTATTCTGCTTGTCTCCTAGTTATAACTCAGTCTTGTTGGCACAGTAGTCAAGTGGTTAGTTCTTAACCAAAATGCTGGTGTTTTTGTCCTTGCAGTTTCTGACAGGATAAATATGTACTAGTCTACTTTTATAACAATTACAGCCTGTGGACAATTTTCCTTTGTCCTATAAGTCTGTATGAGTCAGAATAAACCCAATGGCCAAGGGTTTCAGTTTTATCTTTTTTTATTACTAAAGATTGTTTTGTATACTCTTGCATGTCATCTGGCTACATAATACACTTGTTCATGCACATAACTGTACCCTAAACAAAATAGAACAAGTAGTTAGTGAAAAGGTGTAAAAACTCTAGAAGGGCATTGTTTATAATGCTATTTTTTCAAATGATTAAAAAAATATTGTATCAGGATTGAAAGACTTTTTCTAGCTCATTCTCTAACTGCTTTCACTTCTTGTTTTTTGGTCTTTCTGGACTTCTCTATTTTCTTTTCTGTCCCAATAATTTTAAAAGCAGAAGCATAAAGATGGGTGTCTTTACGTCTTTATGCATATGCTTTTAAAATTTTTATTGTTGTTGTTGTTGTTATGC